ATCCTTGGGCACTTTCTGCTCCACTGTATTGCTGCTCCATCCACATTTAGCGTGACCTGGCCAGACCGTGGGGGGGGGGGGGGGGGTGGATTCTTACCCACAGCCGGCCTGTATGATGAAATATGAACATGCGAACCTCAGTGCTCTGTCCTCCCTCTAGAGTCGCGCATGTCCGTCTTTGGACTGCGCAGGTAATTTAGGTGATGGGGGAGGCTTTAACATGTCCTCGTCAGCAGTTCCCATCTCTCCCAGGTGGTGCATGAGCTCTGCACCTGTTTCTCGATCCGGTAACACAGCCCTGCCGGCTCCAAATGCAGAGAGCTCCATGCGCTATTCTCATCTCATCTATTCTCATCTCTTCTCATTTATTCTCATCTGCTGAAAGCACAAATAATAGAAAGTGTTATAAATGTGCCTGTGTGTGTGTGCGTGTCTGTATGTCTGTGTGTCAGATCCACACACCAGATCATCCATCTATCTTCTATCTTTTATTCTGGTCCAGTCATAGAGAGTCAGGGGTTCATCCCAGGCAGCATAGAGCACAAGGCTGAGGTACCTGCATAGGATGGCAGTTCATCACAGGGCACATACATGCACAAACAATCATACACTACCGATTATTTAGAGATGCTACTTATTCTGACTTCATGTCTTTGGACTGTGCGAGGAAATCATGTGACATGGCAAGAACATGCAATCAGCACAGTCACCAAGCAGAGGCAGACTTCAGAATGCTAGCATTGCTGGTGTGAGGCACCAGTGCTAACTTCTCAGCCACCTGAGCTTGAAATATATATCAAATTATTTATTGCAGTATTAATTTCTATGAGCTGTATGGGCGGAAAGTACAGGGGGCTTACTGGGGATGTGGTTGAAACGAGCTTAACAGAATCAGCAGCAAGGAGAGGAAATAAAGAAAGGTATTTTCCTGTCGGGGTGAGGAACACACACCGGGGGGGGGGGTCACTAGGGCTGTTTTAGGACTTCCTTAACCACCCCCCTTCCAAATAAAAATACATAAATTAGTTTAAATCATATGCTCATTCATTTATATTAAAATCAGTCCCGCTTACTAAAGGTTCACCGCCAACCCCCAACCCCCAACCCCCA